CCCGCCCTTTGTCCCCCACGGCCGCCGCCCCGAGCCGCCGCCGCCGCCGCCGCCGAAGCCGCTTTCTCTGTCTCGATCGCTTCCCCGCCCTCCGACCACACCCCCTTAAAGGGCCAGTCCCGCAGCACGCCCCTCGCCCCCACTCCGCCCTCGGGCAGGGGCTAGGGGAGGGTCTAATCGTCAGCGATTTGCGCTTGGCTGTCCGTTATCTCAGTTAACTTTCCTGCCCCAAACCCTGGTGTTCTCAACGTCTGGTACCAGAATTTGGGCTCCTGCGGGGAACCTAGTGTTCTGTCCTCACTGAAGCAAAATCAGGGGCTGTCTGGAAATAGAAGGGATTGGGTACAGTGTGCAGGTCAGAGGTCCCGAGAGACGTGGGAGCCCCGGACGTCTGGGTCCTTCAGCCCTTGGCCAGCGGGGAGTGAGCAGGCTTCTTCGCGGGGACAGACACGTGGACCGGGCTCCTGGAGGTAGAGGAGTAGAGAAGGCGGGCAGGAACTGTCCAGGTCACCAGAAGCCCTACTCGTCGGGGTCGGGTCCCCCCATGATGGAGACCTGGGTTGGGAGTGAGCTGAGCCGTCCAGGCGGCCAGAAGGGTCAGACCCCAGGCTGCCACCGCCCACCGGCCAAGATGGCTGCAGGGAACGGAATTATGGGAAGTGTAGTTCATAGGGTCGGGTCCCGCATGGCCACCCCTCCCCTGCGGCGGAGCCGGGGCCGGGAAGCGCAAACTTGTTCGGAGCGCCCTCGTAGGGCTTGGTCTCCACAGGGCGCTACCCTCCGCCCAGCGCAACGTAAAGAGCTGGGAAGTGGAGGAGCTGGAACTGACAATAATAAATATAATAATAACAGCTGACCCTAATAAGCTTTCCTACAGAAGGCTCCTCATAATCGGTTCCAGCAAAACTGACTCCCGCAGATCCTCGTCCTAAGGCTCCTTCCGTCCTTAAGATCTCACAGGCACCTTACCTGGCCCACCCTTCTTAAGCAGACCCTGCATCTCATTCCCGTACCCGGTTTGATTTTCTGTATCTTTAAACAGTCTCTCTCATTCATTTGTTCATTGTCTGGCTCCCATTTCTCGACTATGAGCTCCACAAGGCTGAGACTCTTGTTTACTGCTGATGCCCATGGTTGAATGGGCCTGCTCAGCTTCAAATCCATGTATATCATGCAAATTACCTGATTCTTGCTGAACTCTCAGCGCCTATGTCAGACTCACAGTAGGTGTTCCATAACTATTGCTTGAAGGAATGACCAAATAAAAGAATGAATGGCTTCCTCTGTGCCTCCATTTCCTTGGAAGGTTGTGGCAAAGATTAAATAGGAAAATGCATGGAAGATCAATGACTCTACCACAGGTGTTAATTAAGTCACACAGCCCTAAGTTACAGAGCCAAATGGAGGTGGAGCTCAGGCCCCCTGGCACAAAGTCTCTACTCATACAACAGCCCAACGTTGTGCAGCTCTGCTTGGAACGCTTCCACAGACAGCAGGCTCACCCTCTGCAGTCCGAAGCAGAGTCTCAGAGTCTGAGAATCAGTAAGTCCCAGCCCCTCACAGACATCCTCTCTCTGGATGCCAGAGGAACCCTCTGCAGCAGGTGGAGTTCAGAGAGAGGTTGAGACTTGCCCAGGGTTAGCACAGCTGGTGCTGCAGACAAACTTGAACCCAAGACTTTGGGCTTACCTGTAGTTGGGGAGAACAGACAATGAGAAGGCAGAGGCTGAGAATGGTATGTGTGTGTGTCAAAGGGTACTTGCCAGGTGAGCTTCTGCCTGAGAGGACCAGGGAGGGGGCAGACTCATGGGGCTTAGTCCAGAGTTAACACCTCCTCCCTCCCCAGACCCTTATATGGCCTTAGCCAACCTTCAGCTAGCCTGGGGAGGCCAGGGAAGGGCTGACCCTTGTTCTTGCAGATTAGACAGTACACACCCTTTCTAAGAGAGCCCCATCCCCAGCGTGGCCTCTGGCTTCAACCGTGGCCTGATGGCCGAAGCAATTTATCCAAGTCCAAATTCCCCACCACACCCCACCACACCTGACCTCACCCCACCAGGAAGGGTATGTTCTTTCCGAACCAGAACATTGAATAGGGCCTTGGGGATACACATAGTTAAGAGGGAGGATATACCATAGTTTGTTGTGGAGTGGGGCCTATAAGCAGTGATGACCTGGGTCCCAGCCCTAGCTCTGCCCCTTAGATGCTATGACCCTGAGCCATGATCTTCCTGTCCCCACTCCCCTCAAGGCTGGTGTGAAGGCCTCCTGTCTTGTCCAAATTTCAAGGTATCCCCTGGGGGTTATCTGGGCAGGACAGGGAGGAGCTGGGGATGCTCTTCCTGACTCTCCCCATCTCCACCTCCTATGCCCACCCCCAGGCCACTCCCAGATTCCTAGGGCTGACTCCCCTACCCATCCAGTCCCTTCCTATGGCCACCTACCCTGCAAACAATTAATGTAGATGGCCATGATGACCTGCAGCCATCTTGGAGGCTGGGCTGCCCTGCACAGAAATTTGGAGTGGAAGAAGTGGGTTCTAATCCTGCCTCTGCCCACTAGGCTGAGAGGCCATGGGCACGTCACTTAGCTGTCCTGAGCCTCCTCAAGGGGGCTGGTTCTGCTGACTTCTGGTGGTTGGGGGTCAAGGTCAGTGCTCCTAGACCATATCCCAGCCCCTGCTTTCCTGCCTGAACTCTCCTGGGACTGGATCCTACCACCACTGCTGCTCTTCATTCTTCCAGCTTCAGGCTGTGGCCTCCCCAGCCCCACCCTTCTTGGAGTCCTGGAGCCCCTTCATCAGAGGGCAGCTAAAGTGGCTTTCAGAACCTCCTTAAAGCAGAGGCCCTGGGGAGGGTCCAGTGGGCTGAGACTGCTCCCTTAATTAAGGATAGAGGCTAGAAAGGCTGCCTTCCTTCCACTATTACTGCTTGCCGAGAAACCCTATTACCATTAAGAAAGGCTGGAAGAAAGTGTCCAAGAAGGAAGGAGCCCTCTAATGGGGGCTGCCCTGGCCTCAGGAGACACAGGGGTGGAGGGAGAGGGAGAGAGGCTCAGGCCCAGGAAATAGGCTCCCATCCCATTTTTCCAAGGAGCTGTTGCTTAGAGCTTCTATCCCTAAGCTCACACCCTGGCTCTAGGCCCTTCTAGCCCTGGTACTGTCTGGCAGTCCCCCTGTCCCAGAGCTGATCTAGCTCTTTCCTCCTTCCTCCCTGATATTCCCACAGCCTGCTCTCCATTCCTTAGATACCCACCTGTCTATAGGCAGGGGTTATCTCATACCCATTTGCTTATTTCATTCTCCGACAACCTTTAGCTTCTGGACAAGGTTACTGAGGCATCAAGAGACTAGGTTCTGCCGGTAGACTTGAACCCAAGCCAGCAGAGGCAGAGGCCAATCTTCACTCTGCATGGCTCTACCCAATGAGACCTCGTGGTCTCTGAGTCTCCGAGGAGTATAGCTCTGTTGCTCTGGTGAGACAGAACAAAGACCACAAGTCCTGGCCCCCTTTCTTTTGTCTCCTCGAGGGTAAGGAGTAAAAGCAGGACATAAGCCGGCCTTCAGGACAGAGGGCTGAAATCCTCTCAGGAAGCTGTGTGTGACCTTGGGCAAGTCCCTTCCCCTCTCTGGGCCTCAAGTAGAGATAATAATCACATCCCACAGGGCCTCAGCCAAAGGCTAGGAGATCTGTTAGGCTACAGTTGGGACCCAGTATGCTGGGGATTTTGAGGATGGCCAGCACCAGGCAGGGTTCCCCTTGAGGGTCTGAGAGCCTGGGGCAAAGGGGCCTGCAGGGCTGGCTCCTCCTTGTCTGAACCCCTCCTCCCCCAGAACCAGCTTCATCTCTTTCTGGGTTTCTAGGTGACTTGGCTGGCCCCTCTGGATGAGTTCTACTTTAAACCTGCTACTGCTACTGCCTCTGTATTGGGGGGGCTCCCACAGGGGCCCCCAGGCAGGAGCCCCCCCAGCCAAGCCCTGCGGGAGGGGCTGCAGCCCCCACCCATCCCAGTGCCCATGTGCCTTCCCTGCTCCCACCCCTGGAACACAGCAGATTTCAGGGCACTGCTGTGGGCCAAGCATGGCAGAGCCCCTCCTTAACCCTCCTTGTTCGTGGACACCCACCTGGCTCTGACCCCTCTGGGAAAAAGACCAGCCATCCCCTTAGCAGTTTGTAATCAGAAATCTCACAGGGACAGGCTCCAGGCTGGGTCATGGGGGTCCGTGGAACAAGAAGGGGGCTGTTCGATGGCTTGCTCTGGAAAGCCAGGGTGCTTGGGTTCTCAAAGGAGGCAGCAGGCGCCTGGCCTCCCAGGGCTAGGGACGGGGGTGGGGGTGGGGGTGGGGGGTGGGGCGCCTGCCGGCGGGAGGCCCATTAGCTTGCTAAGTGCTCCCAGGGAGCCAGGACTGAGCTGCTGCGGGGTGGGGGTGGGGGGGAGAGGCGAAGTGAGGGCAGAGAGAGGGGTGGGAGTGGCTTTTCCAGCACTCGGCTAAGTGCTGCAGGAGTGGAGTGGGTGGCAGGTCTTTGCGCCCCTCGGCCCAAGTCTTGCCCTCCAGAAGTACCCCGCCCCCGCCCCTGAGAAAACTTAGCGTGCTGACCCCGGCCGGTCTTCAGCACAGCCCTCTACACCCAGTCCCTTCAGCCGCACCCCCAACAGATCCCCTCATCGACACGCGCTCCTCCCCCCCACCCCGAGTGGGTTCCAGCCTGACGCCCCCCAGCC